CGTCGATCTGGAAGCTGCTTTCGACTCACTTGACCGTTCTTAACTCTGCTACTGCCTGTCCCAGAATGGTGTGCCTGAGAAGTTTATTCCGGTATTCCGATTCCTTTATACTAATAACCGAAGAAGAGTCTAAGCTTACAACACGTTTTCACCCGAGTTAACAAAAAAAAACAGTGTTCGGTAGGGTTGCCGTCTCTCTCCTTTTCTATTTGAATGTGTTATAAATTTGATTATCCTCATGGGAGGATAGTGGCATCCAGTTGCCTTCTGGTGTCAAACTGTCTGATCTGGAGTGTGCAGACGACATTGTGCTACTAAGTGACGACCGTAGTAGGTGGCAAGCTTTTCTGTATGGTTTAACTCCTAGTGTAGCCATGTTTGGTATGCGTTTTGCACCTTCAAAGTGTAAAATGTTGCTACAGGAGCGAGTTGGCTTAGCTCCCAGTCTAACGCTGACTGGGCAAGTAATGTCGTGCGGCACCACTCACATTCGTTACTAGTATTGAAAATAGTACGCCTGGTGGTTTCTTTCAACGATCAAATGTTAACAAGACCACCGAGGGAAAAGTGCTGTGTCTCAAAGACTGCTCAATGCATTACCCGATGCGCTTCTAGGAACTGCGATGGTATGTTTCATTTGAGATTTCTTTGTTATGTATTCCAAATTAGTGATATCCTGACTGTAATCTACAGTAAACAACTATCCTCGACCGAGCACCGTCTTGTGGAATTATAACAGTAGTAGAGGAAGCAATCACATTTTGCTGTTTTGGTAGCTATATCTCACATAACGGACACTTCACATATATATCGGTACGCATACAGAAGGCTCGGTTGGCATTTGCCAACATGCGACGTGCGGCGCCGTCGCGACATTCGGCTGTCTGTGGAGGGTCGAGTATATGCTGCAGCAGTTCGGTCAGTTCTATTCTAAGTAACGGAGACTTGGAATTAAGGGAAAACGATTAGTTGTCAGTGTTCGAACACCTTTGTCTACGTCGCATTGCACGAGTCTGGTGGGGAAACCGGACAAGCAATGTTGAGGTTAGGCGCAGAGATTTAGGTAACCACGGTCTTCCACTGGAACAAGTGGTCGACCCTTATAGAGTACAGTGGTGGGACATGTACGGCGCATGTCACTAAATGGATTTTCACGGCGCGCGATGTTTACCGACGCAGATTCTGGGTGAACAAAGATCAAGTGCGGTCAAACTAAGAACTGGCATGGGGGTATCAAGACCCTAACCAGGGCACTGGGTCACATGTCCAGTCTGGCTCCTTGCATAGTGACTCCAAGATCATAATAACTGGTGGTCGGAGGCACTGTGTAATATGGTTGAGTGTCGTAAACAATGGTGCTCGTGCACCTACTCACTATTATTGTAACTCTAGCGTATACAAATACTCTATTCTCTTCTTAACTCTTCTCAACATTCTAATCTGCATTCTACTCTTTTATCCAAATGGGTAGTCAAAAGTGAGCAAACAAAAACCAGTGCAAGGAAATGTACGGTTAGTGGTTGTAAAAACTGGAAATATTTGTGTACAACAAACAAAACAAGCGTGCACTAGAACGTTGGACTGCATTATGCAACCGTTTTGATTAGGTTAGACCTCGTTAACATTGCGAATCCATCGATTCCACCGAGGATCGAACACGGGCCCGCACAGGTAGAACGCGAGCATACTGTGCACTTCACCACCGGGCAACTGGTCAAACTGTTTTTCATTTTGTTCGCACACGATATTGCGCAATCCTTGTTTTTAAGCATTTTTTGTGGACAGCACGCTTCGCTCATTCACCTCCGGGGTTGTGACTAGGTTGGAAACATTCTGAACTCGGCTAATGGTCACAGGAGAGTGGTCCAGGTTGCTGTGACGGTAAGCGAGGCATGATAACTGCCTTGAGCACAACGAAATTCACCATCTGATCGCATCAGATTCTGTACCACTTTCATGTAAGAAATTTCTCAACGAGATTGTTTGTTTCTGCTTCCTTGACTGAAGACCTGTCTTCCGTAGATCGTCGAACATGTTGGGATCGAGATACGAACGACAAAATGATCGTTGAAGACGTATATTGTGGTAATTGACAATAGGAAAGACTGTACAGGTGAATATTCATATAATGGAATTAAATTTCCAGCAGTCCGCCTATTTTTCTCACAAAACGCTTATGGGTTTATAGAAAGGGACTGCGGCGATAGATTTTATTTTACAGAATCTCACACTTTCATCTTGCTAGGTGAGATTCTTATGGATTTCACTCATTCAACGCACACAGACTTAATTTCCTGTCGTTCGCATCCGCCTACTAAATCCCAATACCGTTGTGTCTCCTCACACATGAACATATATTGTAACCCGACGATGGCCTCTTTAGCACGTATTCTGGTGAACAAAGAACACTTTGTTACATACTTTTTTGAAAGTTCGATGTTTAACAATTCATTCCTTACTGTGCACACTTTGGACTGAAATGTAAGCACCAAATTTACATTTTTCATAATTAAAATTTATTTCAACTTTAAGTCTCGGTATTTCTTTGTGCATCGGAATAACGAGGTGCTAATTAGTGTGAACATTTAAATATTGCGCGATTCGAACTACGTGGCTTGTGCCACACAAACAGACAAGCCCATACGCTCAAGAAGGAATTTCCATCTAAAGCTATTACGTTTCTCCTGTAAAAGAATTGCGGGATTCGGCTGACAGGTCTACGCATCCAGTTGGCCAGTGAAAACTGTTTCACAATATTCTTGGAACGTCCCTTTTGTAATTTTAATGAAGAAATGAGAAAGCTTTCCATTCACGGTTTATTGCACAGATTGTCGATTCACTGCATTTAATTTTTTTATTGTATCCATCTCAATTTGTCGCCGTGTGGTCGCGCCCTTCACCTCGGTTACTCCACGCGCATAGCATTTTAACGCATACCATGCACTCACATACCAATTATGACCGCTTAATAACAGATACCACACACGGAAGCACCAGTCCGCTAACCTCTTGTCAACCAACCGTTGTTGTTTGAGGTACATTGCCGTTGTGGAGATGTGATACATCACAGAATTATTTACACTACTTATGAGTAGTTTGTTCAATAAAGTGAAGCGTTGCTAGCTGTTGAGTATTCTTGCTGATCTCGTCTGTTTCGAATTGCTATTGCGATTTCAGATCTCACGTTTTCTGCTACCATCTGGTGCGTAGGACGAGCTGATTTTCAATCAGCCACACAGTGATAAACAGGACACACTACAACCAGATGAAAGTGAGATTAACTACGTTGCAATTAAAAAAAATCGTAATCTCGCACAGAGCGACTACATTTATCACTAACAGAGGTTGATTTCTTGATGACTAGTCAAGTCGGTTGATCACTCAGTATCCTAGCAACCGGTAAACTGGCATTTACTGGTCGCCAACACAGCACGTGTTGAAACTCGTTTGTATAATGTTCTTTGTCAGACGGTTTGCATTTTCATGTCAAATGGGGCAATGCTTCCGCTGCGTCTCAAGTTGATTGGTTAAAGTGATTAACAAATTCAACCTGTGTCCGCATCGGTTCAGCGTCCACCCAAAATCGATTGTACAATTGCGTATCTGTGTCTTGTTCAAGCAAGCCGTTTTTGATCTTGTTAGATTGTTTCGCATTGGGGTAGGCTAATGGAACTAAATGACAAGTCGACCTGTTATTATGGCACTCCGACTACTGCATCAACCAGTCGTGTGTAAGCAAGCCAGCGACGACAATGAGGTAACTTTCGGTTCATCATGGCACAGTTTAACTAGTGCGTATGCCCGGGGTTAACTGTTTTCAGACGAAATGGAGGACTTCAAATCCTTGAGAATCGTTAAAATGTTGCGCTTAAGGAGTATGTAGTCTGATGGGCGAGACTGAATGGCCATCGACGATGATCCATTGTTATTGATCCTACGCTCAAAGTCACAGTCAAGGTTTCCCTATAGCCCAGGTCTTTCGGAGAAGTGACGTAGTTTTCATGCTTCTCATTTGTTTCCTCCATTAAACTGTCTCAATTTTTACACGTAATACGCGTACACTTCTTAGCATTTTGATTTTTTTTTGCAATCCATTTGATCAAAACATTTGTGTAATATGAGGTAATTAGATGCACGATGCAAGCGAGTGGATGTACGAACACTATTGATCTTCATTCATATTACCCCGGAACCTGTGATGGGATTTACTTATGTGACCTGCATGGCTCAGTCCACCTCCGTAGCAGACGATGGTTGTGTCGCTGTTTCTGACTCCGAAAAACTACTAGGTTATTCAAGTCCATTTCTTACACTTTCCCCAGAGTGCCCTAACGCGGCTACTGTCGACTGTAAGCTGATGTCTTCTTGCTCATTTTTTGTTTTTCCCCCATTCCAGTTCTCCCCACAGTCTCCGTTTACGCTCCTGTTTACAGTCTGTTGTGCTTCACAACAACAACGCCACAATTCGGCAGCTAGCTGCTACTGCATTCCTCGTGTTTCTTCCCATGGAATGCCTTTTTTACTCAGATGGCATAGTGGTTGCTACTCATGGAGAAGCTGATCAGCCCTGTGCACTGTGCATTCTCTCGCCCATTGGACCATGGTCTCTATTGTTTTGTTCTTCCACATGTTCAGTTCGTATGAACTGTGATTCCTGCTTGGTGAAATCCAATGCTATTCATGGACAGTTATGTTTACTTCGTTCGTGGTACGAACAACCCGTCTCAAAGGACATGATGCTGGCACGACGAAGGTTAGCCAATGTGAAATTTAGAATAATGCTCATGTTTCTCCAGGTCGTGGTTCATTATGGACGGATCTTTTCATTTTTTTCCACTCTGAATAATGGTTCGATACTATTTGTCTCATTGGTAATGAATCGGCTTATTACGCTGCATGTATATGAACAACTTTTTTGTTGTGAGTCAACAGTAAAAGATAAAGGACTATATATATATATATATAACAATAACAGAACACAAAGATACTGAGAACAACCAATTATAGTGGATTTAGAGAACAACAGCACCAACGTTTATTTGTTTGTTTCACTGTGCACTACATATCTGAAAGCGCTCTGAATAGCTAGAGAATTAAAAGCGTTCCTAATTCTTCTACCATTTTAAATTGTTATCACCTGTTTAATTTGATATTCATCACCTGCTTCGATTTCTATACATTCTTGGTGTGTAGACTGTTTAACTGGTCAGTCGCTTTCAACCTAGTTGAACACCTCTTGATCGGTCCAACGGTTGGTCCTGGCACGTGGTTTCTCGCGTCACGACTGTGCGATCTAATGACTGTGGTGATTTCGGCTGCCGTGGATCATTCCGACTGGGATTCTACTCTTCGTTCGACAGCACGTGAGTGGTTCGTGGACAAACTTTCGCGGTTTTGTTCTACCCCACATGACCAGGTGAGTTGCTCTCGTAATTCCATTTCCTGCTTTCGTTAAAACTGGAAAAATCGATTATAGAAGCGATCCCTTGGACTGTTATGCCTAAGTGTTTTGAGCGATTTCATTGGCATAGGCTTTACATGAAAGATTTTCTAATGACTGCTTATTCCATCTCACAGAGGTTGACAGGTAGGTGATTTGCGTCCATCTCTCTGTGCATGCGATTGAACCCACTCTCGCATCAGGAATCAGATGTTTCCTTTTCGAATTCGTTTGGGTTGTTTTCATTTGCTCGTATGGAATGGCATGTGACTGCCAAAGTGTGACTACTAATATAGATTATTAGCTTATCAAAAATGAATCATGTAACCCGAGTTTTTTGAGCCCGTGATTCAGATCGCCTCGTCAGTCAGCAGTACTCATTCTGCGATGCAACTTACGTGCACGGATGAAAGTAGTCGGTTACAGGCAAGCGCAGATTCCCCACACTGGTCGAAGTTCAGTGGTTTTTGGTAGGACACGCACTGCTGATTTTGAGGTGGCTATCTTTTTGCATTCGAATCTGCTTTCACNAGCACATTGTCTCTCCATCCCCAGTGTTCGTTCGATTTTTTTCTGATAGCTTTTTTCTTGTCGTCGATCCTTCGTTTTCGATGTTCCCTTTTTGTGTGGTAGCTATTCTGTGCAGAGTACAACACAGCATAGCTTTTTTGTGGACAAATCTACTGACGTTCTCATTAGAGCGCTGTTGACTAGGCAAAATGTATGTCGAATGCAGAGCAACTGTTTGTACTCAATAATCAGTGACCGCTGATTGGCCAGCTATGCTTGATTCCACAAACCATCGCATTTGCTCCTCTTGATACAAGCAAGCATTGTAATTAGTTTACCTTGCAATCCTCAATGAGCAGGTGAACAAACTGCGTTTTTTACTCGTTGACTTTGCTTTTTTGGCCTCTTTGTTTTGCTCATCAGCCTTTCTATGTGGATGCCGTAGTCGCATTGGTGCATTTCGTCTACCACGTCTGTCCATCGATTCTGGTTCACAATCCCATCATCCTGGTAAATTGGGCTCCTCGATTGGTTCATCGGCTGTTGGGTGCTCTGACCGATACAGATCGCCCGCAATACTTGGCGCTGTTTGCTAATACTTCTGTACAATACTGGCTTCTTGGTATCCATCATCCCACCACAAACATGCTACTGTCATGGCGAGTGGTACAGGTCTGGGCGTTTGTCATACAAAATCGCTTGATGCAAACAGGTGATATTGAAGTCCATTTAAACGATGATCAGCGTCATAAGGCGATAAGTTCGTTACGAGCCATCCTTAATGTGGAAGATGTGGGATCATCGGACGCTGGGAACAGGGCGAATGCGCTTTTATGCGAGGCGGTTTGTTTATCTGTGACCGATTCATCTCATTCGTAAGTTTGATTCCGTAGCTCACACACGTTCCTTTGTCGATCAGTAATGAATATGTGCCCTAAAAGGGATTTCATTTAATCTCATCTCTTTCTCAATGGACCATGTTTACTACCCCACTTTCTATCGATTTCCATGTCAACCTTTTAATGTGAACCGCCTCGGTTCAAGTCTTGTCTTGCTTTGACTAGTGTGATTCATGCTTAGTGCGATCAACGGTGATCTTTTCTTTACATAGCTGCGAAGTTGTTGTCACAAGTAATTTAGGATCCTCTCTGTATTATGCAAAGCTGTACTCACACACAGTATTGCATGCATCTACAACGAAACCTCTCATTCTGCGCTCACCAGGTTTTATTTGGACCGATGGTTCGATCAGTTGACAGACTGCTTACACCCATCTTCGCCGGACTCTGCTCGCCTCATCGCATCCGAAGCTGTATATGCGTGGTTGAGTTCATTCCAGAAAGCACAAACTCCGGAGAAGTCCCCATCCTCAGTTCAGCAATTGTTATGCACCATGACGCCGCTAGAACGACAGAAGTAGGTTTTGTTTCAGATGTTTTGTGGTTTTGCTTCATGAGTGTTTTAGTTAGTATGTGATGAATCATTTTTTCAACCGTACATGAGTAGAAGCCCATCAGACCAAGGTTTTTCTCCGTATTATTTTCTAAAACGAGTGTACATTGCATATTCAAGGCGCAACAGCTTTGTGTTCAAAACGGTAAAAAGTTTAACAATCGCCGTTTCTGCTCTGGATATCTGACTATCGGTAACGCTACTGTGTTTTATGCATTTGGCGACTGTTGTCAGTATAACTCCCGTGTTTTCATGTCTCATTTGCAGATTCCTCAGCCTTCTTTTTCTCGGTATATTCGACGAATGTGCTGAGGTGCGTCGAAACTGTGCCCGATGTATTTCCTTGTCCTCTCCATCACAGGGGTTTTTGGAAGGTCTTCCGTCGCCGTTTCGTCTGATTCACCCGGGGTTAACAGCCATGTACGGCAAACCTGTCGCACCTCTATTCTCGGTTCACCTTCTCCTGGAAAGGCTTCTTCCCTTCCTGTTCTCAGATCGAGACAGTAAGGAGGAAGTTAGCGGTTGGCTACAAGCGGAATGGAAGCGAGTAATGCATGGTCTAAATAGGCGTCTGATTGAAGAAGCAATGATGCGTGAACGGTGAGTCTCGTTGCCTAAGAGGTGAACTTTCCATTGTGCACTACTAGACTAAATCTGGAAGCGGTGTCACGCATTCTCTTTTGAGGTGTGGCTGATTGATTGTACTGCGCTACTAATCCGAGTTACGCAGTATTTCATGCAGTAGTAGTAAATTTTTAATGATGGAGTCCTTCAGCGTAATTCATTGTACCTCATGATAACTCTAAAAACCCCTTCGTAGTTCAACCAGGTAATGTTTAAGGTGTTTGACATACACGCTAAATGTTGGTTTTAAGGTAAAGTGATCGATATCGAATCAAAGTTACGTTTCGCTCTAATCCTACTAGTTTAAGCAAGTTTGACATCCAAGCACCATTAAATCCAGCTATAAAACGTATAAACTTCGATGCGATTTGTTTGGTTTGCTCTTGGCAGTTGCTTCCAGATGTTTGTATTCTGAACTCACGGTATGTGTACCGGATTGACGTCCGATGACAGAGTGACTCGCAGATACCGAAACCCCGAATTCGCGTCAGAACACAAGGCTGGGAAACCTACGTGTACTGCTTAATGAATCATGAATCATTGGAAATAACAAAATACCTCAAATTAGGGGCAACCCGGTCTGGGCAGAACTACCGGTTCAAATGAGAGAAGGAATGCAATGTGGATATAGAGACAGCGCTATTTAAGGGGCGGCGAGGACCGATCACAGGGATGTGAAAGCGAAGTGACATCAAAGTCGAGGGGGGGGGCGACAGACGGCAACCGTAATCACGGTGTAATTGAGGGACTAGACAACGAACACGAGGAGGGTGTCTGGGAAGGTTAAACACACAAGGGCGGGCGGTAGCATGTGGGTCAAGAAACAACTGGGTGTGAAATGGGATGAACGGTGAAGATGTTAGAGTAAACATAGCGGGTGGGTGATGAAACGGTGACCACAATAACAAGCGGCAGTTTCTATGCCGGATCGAGATAGTTGAAAACGATAAGCACAGAACGAGTTACGACAGTTACTACGACTAAGTTCCATGAGGGATGGCAATAGTATAATACGAGAATAGGACGACAGTTACCACGACACGGTTTCCGTGTGGGGTGATTTATAATATATTGCGATAACAGGCCGGACAAAGAACGGGTTGCGATGATTACTACCAGGAGTTGCTATGCAGGGCGGTTATGTAATCACAGGGGAATTACGGAAAAGTACAAACAAAATGTTCATGGAGGGGGAACGTAGCAAGTTCCGATCCGGTTGGCAAAGGTCAATAAACTGGGAGTTGTTTAGGTCCAAACATGAATTCTTGGGTTGTGAACCGAGTAAAGGTAGGTCCAGTGTACGTAATTTCAAATCATACAAAAAAGCGTCTTACAGTATGTGTTTCGTGTTGGAAAGCATACTTGTCCTAAAAGATGAATATACTTATAATTTTAACACTTGAACTATACATTTGAATCCTTAATCACTGCATAAATTCATTACGATGAAATCCCACCTGAACGATTGGATCGCTATCTTCTCTCTCTCTTTCTGTCGCTTTTTATTCCCTTGTCCAATATCTTATCTGATACGCATCGGTAAATTCTCTCAGGAATGTTTTGTATGAGCGTGAAGCTGACAACGATTACTGTGAATCACGATTGTTATTGGAATTGCTCACAAGGAGACTGCAGAGAGCATCTGAAACGGATGAAGTGAGTGACAGCTTCATTTCCATGTCCATTTTGCCATTCCTGTTCAATTTCATCGTAGGTGATATACTGCGCAATGCAGCAGTTGATCTCCAATAGGCTGGATGTTTGAATGCGCGGTGGTCGTTCCAAGTACACTTTACAAACCAACGAGTGCTGTTATCCGATTCGGAATGCACCTTCAAAGTGCAAAGTGATGCTACAACACTGTGTGTGTATCGACTGCCCCAATTATGAAACTAGTTGATCGAGAGTCAGTTGTAGTCGATTGTTTCTGCTACTTATGCCGTTACGTGACCAATAGTGGATTGCGCGATAAAGGAGATTTTCGTAGGCGTTTCCAAGGCTGGTTGGGAGGACTTCTTGTGGTCATTTTCTATCTGACTAGTATTCTTGGAAACGTACGTATGCACAATTAGTCTGCGTAGTCGTTGTACGGAACACAGAATTTCATTCCTCTCGTCTCTGTCCACGCAATGTATCCTCACTTTGCTATGCTGCAATCAGTGGATTTCGCTTCACTGTATTTTGCTGTCTAATGGCGGTGATGGTGAAACGACTGAAGATCCATGTTGCCCGATGGAATACCAAATACTCAGCTAATTTGATTTCAATACTTGTCCATCATAACAACTCGTCACATAACATGATTATATTCGTGGGTTGGCTGTGTTATAATTCCACAAGACGGTGCTCAGTCGAAGATAGCTGTTTATTGAGGATTTCAGATGGGATTTCACCAATTTGGTATACATAACCCAAAACTCTAATCAGAAGCATACCATCGAAGTTCCTGTCCATACGACGAGTAATGTATGTAGAAACCCATAGTTCTTCTTTTGGATCCAGCAAATTGCTCTCAGTGCTCTTGTTGATTTTTGTCGTCGGAAATAATCACCAACTATGTTACCTACCACTCACAGGTGAGTAGTATCTCACGATAACTGGATTTACAGGTGGTTGTTCCTGAATTGGAGTTCACCCGTAAACGAGATGTGAAATATACTCTCGAGGTTGACTGTAATATTTTGTTTGTTTTCTGTTACACGTTGTCAATCATGGAATGACAATATAGGATCATTGCAGCAGGCGGAACTACCTTTGTTCTATTGTAGTAATGTGCCAGTCTTTTTGCAATAAAAAGTTTCGCATACTGAGCAAAAATTAAATCGTGAACGGGAAGGTTTTCGATGTTGATGTGGTCCGAGGGTTTTTGTATTATATTATTATATTTCATACTTGTCTGAGGACAGACTGTATGCCAGGAAAATCATGGTACAGTAATCTCTATAAAAAAGAAAAACGTTCCATGATTGGCTTGTGGGCTGAATACCGTCAAGTTTCTCAGGCCAATGTAGGTGGATTTTCTTGAGGAATCTACGACCGGAGCTTTCGACTAGCCAAAGCCTGACCCACAAGGCAGGGGGCCAGTGTGCGAAAACCGCAGTCCGTTGGGAGCCACTGTCCAGTTCATCGGATCATTTGCCCTTCAGATGGGTCAAACGTCCAAGGTGCCCAATACACCTCAATGCCCAATCGAATCGGTGACCACTGCCATAACGGAAAAGGTGTGAATAAGGTTCGTACGCCTCCTCATGGCTGGTTTGGAATCAGAGCTTTTGGCCAACAAATTCAGTTTCAATTTGTACAACCATTAACCATGCACTATCGTGCGGTTTTTGGCCAACTCCCCTAGGTGAACTACCAGTGGTCCACCAACCCGGTTATGGCCCCGGATGTCGGCTTTTCGTCCTCTCACTTTGGTGGGAAAACACCTCCGCCACAGGAAGGCAGTGAGTAGGGTCTCCTCATCAGAGGGTATTTGAGACGGTTGGTGGTATGGGAGCATTTCGCAAGGTTCAAGGGCAGAGTGACCAACCGCAACCCTAGACACCCACCCCGACCATACTGAGGCTTTTGGAGGCGAGAATGTTTATGCTATCGTTAATCTGCAAATGTTTTCCCGTCGCTTGCTACTGCGTTTAGCTCTAGTTGTACGGAAAATGCTATTCAGGAAAATTTTTCTTCTCTTCCGTGGTCTTGTTGCTCAGTTGCTATGGTCAAACACTGACGACTTTGATGGAGAGTTTGACGTTGGGTTTGGCTTGGTCAGCGGTACATCCAAATTTTCTGAGTTCGCATTTTTGAATGAATTCATGGATCGTTGTGTTGACTAACTATTTTGTTCTGATTTTGTTTGTAACCGGATCATAAGTTACACCTTTCCTATCAAGCTATAGTCAAAACCTAAAACTTTTAGCTTCAGTCCACAAACCTTTACCGTTGATCCGCAGTCCTTGAGTCAAAACCCACAGTATTTTTGCCTCGAACCACAATCCTTCAGCCTTAACTCGCACTTCTTCAGTCTAACCGGCAATCCTTCAGTCAAACCTCGAAATTCTTCAATCATAACTTGAGGTCCTTTAGCCTCGATGCGCAAACTTTAATCATGCGAGTCCAATCAAAAAGTATCGGAATATAATGAGGTCAGCGAATGTTGATTTTGCAAAGCTTAGTTAAAAGTGAGGCACGGAAATCCTCTGCTGCGCAGTAGACCGCCTTAATTGTGCCTGATGTTGCAACATGACTAAACGGATGATAGTAATGGGGCGATATCTTTTTTGAACGGTGTTTATTATCCTTGAACTGGTCATATATCCGATGCTTGAGACGGAGTTCACTTTCAGTTGATAAATGAAACAGTTAAGTTTCAGTTTTTCGTTGTGTCGCTTTTTGATTTACGTCCAGCCTTTAAAAAAGCAAAACAGTATACCGTTTCTGTTACATTTGAGATTCTCGGCTGGAGGAGTAGCACATTTAAGACTCCTTTGTAGTATCCTCGGGCATCATTCGATTCATGGGCAATGGGGGGTATAATATTTGTTGTACCTACCTACCTTTAGTTGCATGTACGATAGCTATGAAATAAATGGACATAGCTTAACCCATAGCTTCACTGGCACGGAACAGTGAGCATGCAGAGGTGATATTTTGAAAGAATTCACCAAACATTTGTCGTGCTATTTCAGCCACGGATCGGGAACCAACACTCAAACCTGGATCGTACAGGGCAAAGTTCTACTACGAGTTCACAAAGCATTTGTGTGCGGTTGTCTACATGACTGAAGTTAGTGCTCGGAGGCTGAATTAATACGGGTTATGGTTAGGGAAGTGTTTTACGGCTAAAGGTTTCTGGGTCGAGGCCCACGAATTACGGGTTTAGGCTGTAGATGGACGGGAAAAGATGTGTTACATAACGTTTCACTCCGACGAAAAGAAAGTGTCATTCAAGTAGCCGCATGAAGTCGCTTTACAGACCCGCTTGGT